GCTTTAATTTGTAACTTTCAACAAATGTAAATATTCCGAATAATGTTGTAATGAAAGTTGTACACAAATTTAATAACTTAAGTCTTTTAATAAAACTTTGATTTTTTTTACTAAATTCAAATTTGTATTCCCTTCTGAATAAACTTGTCATTTCAATACCCGAAGTCGGCGACTAATGGCTTGCACCAACCTCGAATTAAACTGATGCCTGATGTAACGCCCCCCTTTCTATACCCTAAAATAATCACATATCAAATCATATAGTCACGAATACAAGTATTTTTATTTTCATCAGAGTGTATTTACATTAAGGTATAAAAGAAGTGCGTCATAATACTCACGAAACGACCACATGAATATTAATGTTTAAAAAGAATAAACTCAAAAGGGGTAAATCTCAACTAAAAATAAACGCATGATTCTTCGAAATTACCTATTCATGTTTTCTCTTAAAGCGGAAGACTAAAACATATATATATTCACTTAAGACATGACAAAACATATTTACATGTCATCTGGTTGTTCACAACTTCATTCACATACAAACAAAACATCATTAAGACATTCTATAAGCCTATCTACTCAAAGTTACATATCAGAGCGACCGACAGTGGGAAAAGAGCTATACTCCAAAGAAAACCTCCAGCGAATCCTAATCTGCAATGCCTCGTAGGGCATTATAAAACAACAGAAGGGTGAGAAACATTATCATAATAATCAAGGCATAAGATATATATATATATATATATATATATATATATATATATATATATATATATATATATATATATATATATATATATATATATATATATATATATATATATATATATATATATATATATATATATATATATATATATATATATATATATATATATATATATATATATATATATATATATATGTGTGTGTGTGTGTGTGTGTGTGTGTGTGTGTGTGTGTGTGTGTGTGTGTGTGTGTGTGTGTGTACAAGTACTGAATGCCTATACCTCATACTTATTCACTACAATGCATAACAATAGATTCTCACCGCATTAAATACACATAGACATGATCACTCACACTTAATCGTCTATTCATCAGTCAATATCTTTCACATTTATTTGTTTGCTAACGCATCTCATCAATTCCTACACATGTGCATATTTACATATGACAATCACAATCATACCATGTGATTCATATAAGACTCATTCACTACCCTCAATCCTTTTTCCAGACTATGGGTACGTCGCTTATGCTCTACCGGGAACAACGTCTCGGTCATTCTACCCCGGTAACTACCTCACTAGGAACGACGCATCGCCGTTCTACCCTGGTGAGTAGAATCTCTCTACATATACATCAACCTCATTCTCATATTTACCAGACGCAATAAATATATATATATATATATATATATATATATATATATATATATATATATATATATATATATATATATATTTATATACATACACTAATACATTTCCAAGCATTATTTTCTCATATTTACGAGACGCAATAAATATATATATATATATATATATATATATATATATATATATATATATATATATATATATATATATATATATATATATATATATATATATATATATATATATATATATATATATATATATATATATATATATATATATATATATATATATATATATATATATATATATATATATATTTATTTATTTATTTATTTATATACATACACTAATACATTTCCAAGCATTATTTTCAATTCATCATATGAAGATGACAATGCACTCATAGAGACCGACACCTCGACCCTATGCAGCTACAACCACGGTACCGACTCATTCGTCCGTCAGATTCTCTTAGAATTCACTCCTCTCACACTTATACGGTTACAATATAACTCATCAGATTCTCCTAGGAATCACTATATAACCGTCGCATCAAGCGAGGTTCTGCAAATCCTCCAAGGGATCAAATATAACCATCGCATCAAGCGAGGTTCTGCAAATCCTCCAAGGGATCAAATATAACCATCGCATCAAGCGAGGTTCTGCAAATCCTCTAAGGGATCAAATATAACCATCACATCAAGCGAGGTTCTGCAAATCCTCCAAGGGATCAAATATAACCATCGCATCAAGCGAGGTTCTGCAAATCCTCCAAGGGATCAAATATAACCATCGCATCAAGCGAGGTTCTGCAAATCCTCCAAGGGATCAAATATAACCAACATCATACACTGCAATGTATACTACACGACACGTTCATCATTCATGTCCAAACGTTATGCATTTTTAATCGAATTAAACAATGCACAAAATTGCCCAAACGGCTATAATTCCTAACCTAGGATTCACGTTAATCGGTTACCCACAGTACGTCATGAACCATCACTCCAGCTTCTGAATCAAGTAAGGGTCGATCGCAATCGGAACCCCAAGCTACAACAGCACCCAACAGCAGAGAAGACTCACTCTGCTACGTTCGCTACACGCTCGCCTAGCGAGCTGCTAGCGAACGTTCGCCACCTTCTCGCCTAGCAAACTGCTAGCGAGCAAGAACAGAAGCTACAGACTTCGTTCGCTACCTCGTTCGCCACAGCGAACCCCCAGCGAGTCCTTCGCTACTCCAATCGCTGCCAGCGAAGGAGACCAAAACACCAATGTACCAAGTCTGGGACCGTTCGCTATGCACTCACCTAGCGAGATGCTAGCGAACACTCGCGACCTGCTCGCCTAGCGAGCTGCTAGCGAGCGACTGCGGACTGAACTTTCTCCCACTGTTCAGAATCCAAACACCCGATGAAATCTCCCGATAAATCCCAACTCGTTCCCAATAGCCTTAGTCTAACATTCCTCGACTAAATTCTACCACTTATTCTCATTTTCAACCATTAAAACTCGGTTTCTACCGATCGAATCAATTTCGACCTAAAATGGAAGTTTATAGAAAACTTTCCAAAACTCTACCCGATCAACCATACACATGCATAACCATACATATTGATTAAGGTAGTAAGATTTCACACCCTTACCTTGGATTAATCGAAGCTTTGAGTTGTTCTTGATGATTCCACTCTTTTCCTCTTCTTCTTCTCTTTTCTCTTCCTTTTTCCTTCTTCTCCCTTTCTTTCTATCTTTTTCTTTTCCTTTCTCTTTTACTCTTATATCTTTTCTTTCTATTTCTATTCTTTATATTTCTTTCCATTCTATTTCCTCCAATATACCTATTATTCCAATCAATTTCCATAAATCATCCACTTAACCATTAATTGAGACTGTCCGAAATATTTCCCACTAAACTTTCCAAAACTCTACAACTAATAAAATAGCATAATATGTAGACTTAACATATTATCACACTATCCCATAATTAAAATAATTCCAATAACTAAATTAATTAGTTAAACCGAAATTGGGCTGTTACACCTGATGCAAATTACAAACTCCACCGAGCCTTGAAAGAATTAACCCGTACTTGGTTTTAAATGGATTTCAAAGGACTATAAAAGCAAGTCTAAGCATCACTTCAAAGGTTAACGAACTTGAAACAAATTCTTGACAAGTTATTCAACAAGCTCACATACAAACTTTCTTCAAAAGCTGAATAGTTTATTTTCGTTCTAAAACTTGTGTAAAAATCACTGTTGTGATATAGCTTTTTAGAAGTACATCCTAAGCACAAATTTGTTAGTTTATCTTTGTAAAAAATTTCCTTAAGAAGACCAAGTTGTGGTCAAAATTTCTTGAGAAGACTAAGACAATCGTTTTAGTGGTTTACACTGTAATCAAGTTTGATATAGTGGATTAAGTCCTTGTTGAGAAAGACAAATCACCTTGGTAGGATGGATTGGATTAGTTTGAGTTCAAACGAACCAGGATAAAAATATTGTGTTATTTTTCTATCATCCAAATTGTTTTAAAACCCTTATTCAACCCCCCTTCTAAGTGTTTTTCTCACCTTCAAGAGACACAACAGTTCTTTATCAATTTGATAATAAATAAAGAATAGTGTATGTAGAGAAGTTCCTTCCTATTGAAAGGAAGAAAATGATGTCCAACCACATCTTACAACATCCCGTCAGTCATGATGAGGCTCTAAATAAATCTCAATCTACTTGGAGATGTCATTACTGTGATGAGTATGTTCATATAAAGCCTTCTTGTTATAAATTATATGAAGATCAACAATCTTCATCTCATTCTAAGGCTAATTAAGTGAGCAAAAAGAGAAGTGTTAAAGATAAGAATGTTAACCTTATATCTCATACTTCCTTGAGAGCTTCAACTAGAGAACAGTAAAGTTTAAAAGCCACTTATTTAGTAACTCCAACACAATAAAAATAAATAATAAATAATAAAAATAATTAAAAACTAATTAACCGACCAAATGAATTAATTTTAACCGATAAAATTGAATCTGATCAAAGCGACAAAAAAATCAGTCCGAATTGGCCCTAAGAAATGCATCCAGTTTCAACGGTTTAACATATTAGAATCGATCTACTTGTTTCTATCTCAAGATCATTTGTATTTGAATCTTAAGAAATGCATCCATAGTTACAAGGCATTTATTTACTAAATCCAACAAATAATAAATAATTAAAATAATCAAATAGCTAGTTCTAAAATTTAGGAGCCAGTTATTAACAAACTCCAACAAAATAGAAACAAATAAAAATAATAAAACAACCTGTCCTACAATAAATGATTAACAAGATATGCAAAAGAGAATATTAAGGAAACTCAATTAATCATGTCTTGGCAACAAAATATGCGGATGTTAGTGAAATTGGGATGGTGAGTTGAAACATTTGTCGACCTGTGATTGAAACTGACTTCAAATCGGCAACAAAATATAGTGAAACAGAATAGAAACTTCAAAAACACTAATAAATTGAAAATATAAAATGAAATTTAAAATCTATCAAATTACAAAGAATATTGTAGAATATTGTTCTATCTCTAAATAATAACATCAAGATAGATGTTTTAGAAATAATGAAGAATAAACAAATAATATCAGTTGTTAACACCCCTATGAAGAACTGAAAAATCAAATCTCTTGTTGTCTTGATCCCATTTAAAACCAATTTCATCTCCAGCTTTTAAGTTTCTTTTATCTACAAATTCCTTGATCCATGTATTGTTGAAAACGTGACTGTTATTCGAAGGCCATATCTTGAAAACAAGAGAACGAAGGGTTTGTGTGTCAACGTCAAAAACCGAAAGTTGGACTCCATCTTTCTCAGCTTTATCTTTATCCACAAAAGGAACGACCCATTTCCTAGCCACTTCTTTCTTCAACAAAAGTCTGCTATTATTTTCCAGATCACTTGTTGTGAGTACCTTCTTGATTTTCCATGGATCATCACTGCTGATTGAAGAATGAAAACTTGTTCCAACAGTATCAGTAACAGCAGCATCACTGCTGATTGAAGAATGAAAACTTGTTCCAACAGTATCAGTAACAGCAGCATCAGCATTAGTTTCTTGGTGAACAAGTTTCTGTTTCTTGATCTTCCATGGATCAGAACTTGTTCCAACAAGAACAACAGCATCAACATTAGTTTCTTGGTGAGCAAGTTTCTTGATCTTCCATGGATCAGAACTTGTTCCAACAGTATCAGTAACAACAGCATTGGCATTAGTTTTTTGGTGAGCAAGTTTCTTGATCTTCCATGGATCAGAACTTGTTTCAACAGTATCAGTAACAACAGCATCGACATTAGTTTTTTGGTGAGCAAGTTTCTTGATCTTCCATGGATCAGAACTTGTTCCAACAAGAACAACAGCATCAACATTAGTTTCTTGGTGAGCAAGTTTCTGTTTCTTGGCAATTTGAATGCAGTTACAAAAATATAGAGACAGATGAAGACAAACATTAGTTTCATTGGGATATGAAGACAAATCCGACAACGATGAACTATTGTTGGTTTCTTGTAGCGGACATTTCCGTTTCGATCCAGAAGAACGAGAAGCAAGATCACCACCATTAAGAATGGAAAAAGAGTGATAAGATGAAGATGAAGATGTTGAAGCATCATCTTTCAAGAGAGGCATTGTGTGGTTGAATAAAAATTGAAATTCTGAGTTGATCTTCAGCAAAGAAAACTTAATTAACTCAACAGGTTAAAGTGGCTCATAGTTATTTATACTGTTTAGTTTCTTTTATTGCTTAACAAATTAAATCTTTTATATCATAAATCTCGGTGAGTTTGTTTTCCTTATTATATGGATATATCAAATCTTAATAAATCTATCAAGTGAGTCTAATGTCAGTTCTGTTTTTCTGTTTCATAATTTCATTGACCTATAAATATGTAATATAACCTAGTTAAAATATTTTATATTAACTTTTTTAAATTATGGTTATCATGATGTTAAAGATCATAATTTATAAATGTTATAAATATTTTATATTAACTTGCCACAGTAATGCAATAGCATTTCGTTTAAGTATTTTGTAAATTTACTTCATATTTTTTTCTACTCAATTCAAAACTTTTGTATCAATTTAAAAACTCAATTTACTTGCCTATAACTAACTAGCCATAATGTTACATGACACCACTTATAATTTTCATTTCATTTTTATCCGTAAGTTATTATTATTATTATTATTATTATTATTATTATTATTATTATTATTATTATTATTATTATTATTATTATTATTATTATTATTATTATTATTATTGCGGTCATTAATTATGAATTATTAATATGAGTTTAATGTTGTTCTTTTTTCCGGCTTCATAATGTCATTGACGTATAAATACGTAACATGAATTATTATTGTTAGGTCTGTGATTTTATGATTGACAATAATTTTAGTAAAACATATTTAATTTAGAAACACATGTATCACAGACAGATGTTGAGTAAGATGTCATGACATCTTGACCAACTGGTACAACAAAGTCTGCTATTACTTTTTTTGATAGATGTTTTTTCAGATGTGTCACATGTTACCAGAACATCAAAACAGTTCTGCATTTTAAAGCCTTGAAGATTTGATTTTAAAATATGAGATTCTTGATGATTTTAATTCTGATACAAGCGCAACTAAGCAAGGATATTTTAGGAACATTGCAGATTTGATTTTGGTTTCATAATAAGAATTTTGGAGATTTTTTAGGAAACTTTGTATTTTGTTCCTATTATTGAAAATATGCTAATAATTGAAAGCTTGTTCCCGATGATTTGCGCTTCAAGAAGCTCAAGCTCACGAGATCTGACACTACAAGAAAACATGATATTAGCTAGGGGTATGGGTTAGGAGGAAAATCCTTCACTAAAAAAACCATGTTGCTTGGGGTTAAACCCCTCGCAAACCACAAAATAGAAAGAAAAAAAATAAAAAACACTTCCTAGGGAATACCCCTCGCAAACAAGGAGGGAAAGTATTTTAAAATTTGAAACAAGGTTTTACTAAGAGTCAGCGCATAAACTTGGTGGGAATTGAGGCAATTTGCGAGGGGTCAACCCTCACCAGTATATGATGTGCAATTTGCAAGGGGCATCCCCTCACCAGTTGACATACTTTAGTCAAATCCACCTACAAAAGCATTTATTCTACTGTCACAGAACAGTAAAGAGTCTGCAACACGTTAAATCTGGCTAGGGGTAGCCCCTCGTAAAATCAATTTTCGTAGCTGATGTGGAGTACCCCGTCGTAATGTGTGTCCACGTGCCACACATGCAATCAGTCATTTGACACGTCAATGTGATCGTTGTGATGGCGTGGGGCACCCCTTCGCAAATGTGCGCATTAGATAACACTTCAAATTCTCACTGATATAATAATATCAGTTAACCTTCCACACTTTCTTCTTCTCATTTATCTTCTCTCACCCTTTCTTCTTTCTATCTTTTACCTTCCACCATTTTCCTTCTCATTCCATACCATCAAATTTTTATTTGTGATATACTAAAGAACATAATCGTGTGTTGATACTAGGTGATCTGACCTGATCAGGAGGGGATTACAGGCTGGCCACACGCTGTTGGACTGCTACTTGTTCACCGGTGATGAGCAGGAGAAGGGGGGTGTACCTGCAAGACACTCTGATGCCAAAGTAAGGAATTAGGCGGAGTGAGAGCAAAGTACAGAAAGTGGGTAAGAAGTGAATTACCTGACCCTCTTGAGGAAGAGGGTATTTATAGAGAGACCCCAGCGCTGGGCCAACAGTCACTTGTATTGGGCTGGATGGTCAGGCCCAACCCAGGTGACTGTTAGGGCTTACGTGGCGTAGTGAAGACCAGAACGTGGTCTTCGCCCTAGTCCAACTGTCCGTGATCTCCGGAAAGTGGGTTTGACCTGCTCTTTCGGAGGTGGGCAGTTGGGAGATGACGTGTCCCCGCCGAGGGGAGCATGTGGAGAACGTGCGCATGGCACGTTGTTCTCCCCGCGGAGGGGAGCTCGGGAGGTTCCTCGAGGGTGTGTGGTTTTCCCCACGGAGGGGAGCACCCGAGAGCGGGGGAGACATATCGTCATGCCTGTTGGCAAGGGGACTTTGCCCCTGGAGGCTGTTCTGTCCGACCAGGGGAAGCGCCGAAGACGCTTAGAAGGGCGTCGTCTTGCTTGACAGGGAGCATGTCCTGCCCGTCCGGCGGGGGGGGGGGGGGGGGGGGGGGGGGGGCGTGTGCCCAGCCAGGCTACTCCATTCATTGAGCCTTGTGCGTTATTGGGTTGGGCCGCGAGGCTGGGCCCAGGCCGGAACAGGAGCCCCCCAAGTCGAAGCTCTGTGACGAAAGAGCGAGGACTTAAGGTCGTTGCTTCGGGGAATGAGGCAGCGAGGCAGGTGGCTCACCGGTTTTGTGTTCGGCAGGACGCGTACGCGTGGAGGTCTTTTCCGATTGCCGGGTGCGCGGGGCAAAGGCATCTGAAGGGACGCGACCATCAGGTTACCGCCACGTGTCGCGCACCGAGTGGGCGGCTACCAGGGCACTCAAAGGCCTATAGTCGCTTCGAGTTCCGCGTCGGGTTATGAATATGGGGGTCCCCGCGCATTTTCTACTTTTCGCCTTGCTTTCTCACCTGCGAAGTTCTGTGATTCCTCCCCGTCCGCCGTTGCTGTGAATCACCGTTGTGCCGTTAGTTTTGCACCCCGTTCGTCGCCGTTACAAAGTGAGTTTTCTTCTTCTCTTCTTTTATTTGCGCCGTTTGATTTGGGTCCGTGGTCGGGGCATGATGAATGCCCCGAGGAGAGATGCGAGTTTCCGTCGTATCTGGTGGTTTTTTAGGTTTGTTTAGATGAATGCCCCGGGGAGGATCGATTGTTCCGATGAATGCCCCGGGGACGGGTGCATTCTCCGATGAGTACCCCGGGGAGGGGCGATAGGTTAGCTTTGAATGCCCCGTGGAGAAGTGGCGGGGAGTGTCCCTCGGGGGTCGCCCGTGTGCTCGTCTTTTGCTCGCTCGCCCGCCGTCGTCGCCCTTTCACTTGACCTGCGGTGGAAGGGTGGATTTGATCCTGGCTATCGAATGATTTAATTTTTTTTTAATATTTTGAAGATATTATTTTAGAATTTACCTCTAATTTCTCTAAATTATTGTATTTCAGCAAAGAAAACTTAATTAACTCAACAGTTTAAAGTGGCTCATTGATATTTATTTATACTGTTTAGTTTCTTTTATTGCATAAAAAATTTAATTTTATGAATTAAATCTTTTATATTATAAATCTTAATGATTATGCATCGGTTAATTTGTTTTCATTCAATTTTTTCATTATTTTATGGATTTATCAAATCTTTTTAAATACTAATAGATTTGCTTACATATCATTTAGTTAGAATTTTTTGTTTTTTAGAGGGATTTGATTTTTCATTATTTTATTTATATATATATCATGTTATCTTATAATTCATGAAAATTAAGTTGCTTATCGATTATTAGAAGGGGAAGCCTTGAGGCCGTCAGTTCAGATCCTACAATCGGCCTCTCTGTGCAGAGATAATGTTATGCTCATCCACCTTCACCATACCCTACATGGTAAAATCCTTATGCACTAGGTTGATCTTTGTTGTTTATCAAAATTTTAATATGTCATCATGATTGGAAGAATGGCCTTAAATAAAATACATTGCAGTATTAACTAATGTAACTATTTTAAGAGCTTTTATAGTTACTTATTGATATGTTATCTTTGAAATTTCTGGAGTAACTGCAATCAGAAACATAGCAACGGCCTCACAAGATTAGCTTCTATTTGGAGAAAGGGAAGGCATCCACTACAAGAAAAATAGTGGATTGCGACGGTTATTTTGGAAGTTTACGACGACTAAAACCACCATTAATTACATTTTACGACGGTTGTAGTACCGTCGCAGAAACGTGTGTCCCCGGGCTGTTTAGCGACGGTTGCCAAAACTGCCACACCAACCGTCATTATATTTCACGACGGGCTGGAACTGACCTAAACTGCAGATGGCGACGGTTAAAGACCGTCGTTACTAGCCTTTTAATTTTTGTTTTCATTGTTGATTGATTAAAGGAAGTATTAAGTGCTACGTGTAAGGTTATTCTCTGAGGCACATGACATATACAATGAGGTTTAAACCCGGTGAATTCTTTAACAGCGTATGCATAGAGTTTTGTGTCATCCCCTACTGAGATAAGCATTGGCTGCCCTGAATGAGCCCATTTGTGGTAACTAGAATCGTCTGGCTTTACTTCAAGATGAGCTCTTTTGATCCTTTCATCAGGAAAAGTATCTGCCAAATAGAAATCCAGGTGTATGGAACAGAAATGATAAAATGTAAAATAAAAAAGTCTGTTTCAATGAGGTTCTCAACAGAAAAGAAATTGTTGTTTTTTGCATTGAAAATAACTATCAGTTAAGCTAAAAGATTGATTTCAGATTCTTAGAAAAAAGCATCAAAATACACTTTTCAACTTTCTCTAAAATACTCTCTATAACACATAGGACATACATATTTTGCAAACAAGACCATCCAAGCACATATTCGTTAATACCACTTTCAGAGTAGAACATAAAAATAATAAAACAATAAACTTTCACAGACCTTCTTGGCTAATTGGCACAGCAACAGTC